AAGTTGGCTATACAATTACACTAGTTGGGTCATTTTGCAGTTATCAATAGGACATTTCCCCCCAATTAAAACAAATCATATTAACATCTGTGCAATTTCCTTCTAAATCCATAAGCAATATTTCTGAAAAAGAATATGTTTTCTTTCACATTACCACATGTAAGGTGATTCTTAGGTACCCAAAATGCAAGTCTTCGCGATCTCATGCTTAATTAATTATCCTTTGGGTCTGCAACAAACTAAACCTCACGGGAATGACCGCAAGACTTGGGACCACTGAAGAGGAGCGGGTACCCAGAACTTGAGCAATTCCCGAGCCAGTGCCCAGACGCCCTTGGCAACTGCATCCCGGAGCTCCGCGCTCACAAACTGATGCCAACGCCGCCCGCTACCTGCCTCCCCAGGTGCTCTGCACAGCTTCCCCGCACATCAAAACACAGGCATCCTCCAGCTCCTTAAAGCCTAAGTGCAACACCTTCCAGAAACAACAGCCACGACCTCAGGCGCCCCGTGTGCCCTTAACAAAGTCCAGCTCTCCCTCCGCCCGGGAGGGCGGGGTGGGGGTGGGGGGAGGACCGCGGCTCCCTTCCCCGGACCCCGTTACAGGTGCAGGTGAACCTCCAAAGGTCCAGGTCTTTCAGACTGAAAATCCCGACGAACTTCAGATGACATCTCCCAATGCTTCAGCCACAGGCAAGAGAATGGGCTGACTTTTCAGAGATTTATTAAAAATTAAATTTTTAAAAAAATCACGTCCTGGCCCCGCGTCCGTTCCCCCGGCCGCCCTCCCTCGCAGCCTCGCGGAGGAGGAGCCGGAAAGTCTGCATACCTTCTTTCCCAAAGCCTCGAGGACGAGGCGGACGGAGACCACACTCGGAGACGGACACTCGGGAGGCTCCGAGCGGCCGGCGGCGAGCGGACCGCGCAGGTGGGTCCCGCCCCGCGCCGCCCCGCGCCGCCCTGCGGCCGCCGGCGCTGCCCTCCGCTGGACGGCGGACGCGGCCCCGCCGAGCCCCCCTCGAGGCTGCGCCGCGCAGCCCCAAGTTTGCGGCCGGTCCTCGGCGGGCGGGCGGCTGCGGCGTCGAGGGCGGCCGCGGCCGTTCCCGGCGGGGACAGGCCCTCGGGGACCGGGGCGCCGCCCCGCGCCCCTCCCCCTCACCTGGCCCGCGGCGGCGGTGGCGGCCGAGGCGGCGGGAGGACCGGCGGCCGCGGCGCCCGGGGGGGGAGGAGGCCCGCGGAGGAGGAGCTGCGGCGGGCGGCTTTGTCTGCGCCGCGCCGAGCGCCGACCCTGCGTCACCATGGCAACCGCCGGGCCGGGGGCCGGGCGCGCACCCCCTGCCGCAGCGTCCCGGGCCGGCCGGCCCCGCCCCTCGGTGGCCGCACAGCTGCGGGGGGACCGCTCGGGGGACCGCCCGGGCCTCCCGCGGCTGCAGCGGGAGACGAGCGAGGCCAGCGAGCCGGGCCGGGCTGCACCCCGCCGGCACCCCTTTGCCTTCCCGCACCGGACACTGGGCGCCCTGTCCACCCCGCCGCCGCCGCCGCCGCACCTTTCTTCCTGGGAGCCTCAAACTGCAGATTCCCTCGAGGGAGAGGCGGCAGCCCCTCAAAGTGATAAAGTGTTGAGCAACTGGTACGCGGCGCTCCTGCCGCTGCCGCAGCGCCCGGCTGCCCGGGACCTCCCGGCCCTGCTCGCCCGCCGCCCGCGCTCGCTCCGGGCGTCGCCGGGGATCGGGTCCCTGACCTGGAGGGCTCCTCGGGAGAGCGGCCGCGGGCGTCAGCTCCGGTAGTAAACAGGAGACGGTGTCACCCACAAGCTCAAGCGCAACTTTCAGGCTGCAGCGTGAATCTCCTGCTGCTACTCTGCTTGGCGACCCGCTGCGACTGCTGAGCATCTACCGCGAGCACCGTGACTCTGTGCCAAGGACCGGCCGTGCGCTGGAGGCAGTGGCACTGGGGAGGGGAGGGCATCTCGGCTCGGGCTAGGCATCCTCCACGAGGAAGAGGAAGGGAAAGTACTAGGAGACCCTGGTCTTGCTTCCTCTAAGGACTGAGCTAGAGGGCAGCCACCCTGGGGTGAATGAGTCCTCGCTCCCTACTATGTTTTCTCGAAAGATCAGTTACTGAATCCCAAACCTACGGTGTCTTCCTTCAAACCCCTGGGAGCCTGGCATTTATTTTCTGGTATCTGTGACTCACCAAAGGAATATCAATAACATAATAAAACCCTGAAGAGCTGTGTCTTCTGGACTTGCTACCTATTTGAGAAGCCCCAAAGCAAGACAATGTGATTACCAACTGATGCCACACACATTAACTAATGAACATAAGATCCGTTTTGTGAAAGAAAAGGTGGCCCACTTTCTTATAATGAGAATATTGGCATTTTGAGGTGAAGTCAAAAGAAAGGGGTCTTTCTGGCAGGCCATTAAGTGATTTGCCAGTACCCATCAAAATTCAAAATGCATGTACATTTCCCCCAACTATCTCAATTCTAGAGTCCTGTTATACAGAAATATACAAATGTGTAATGAGACATAGGCAAGGATGTGCATTACAAGAGTTCCATACTAGTAAAACTTGGAAATAAGTTCTATGTCCACCAATAGTGATATGGTCAAATAAATTAGGCACACGCACTACCCTGTATTCATTTGAAAAAATAAAATCTATAAAACACAGAGAAATATATTGGTTTAATCTTGAAAGAAAATGAGGGTTTTAGACAACAATCGTGCGATTTTCCCATTCTGTAAAAAAAAATAAAATAAAATATATATGTATATATATCAAATATATATATATATATATATATATATATATATATATATATATATATATATGTAATACACACACACACACACATAGTGCTATGGTTTGGAAAAGGTTTGTCCCCAAAAGTCACTGCTAAAAGCTTGGTCCCAATTTAACAACATTGATGAATGTCACTGCTTGGAACTTGGTCCCAATTCAATGCAGTGAGATGCATTGGAAACTTTGAGAGGTGGAGCCTAGCAGGAGGTGATCAGGTCTGTGACTGCCCTTAGGCATTGGTCTCAGGGGCCTAGTAGGTCTCACAGGGTGGCTTAGCTCCTGCAAGAGCCTGTTATAGAAGAGCAAACCTGGCCCTTCCTGACTCCCTTGCTTCCTCTCCCACCATGTGATCCCTCTTGCACAGGCTCTGCCATGTGTACCATCCAACAGGAGGCCCTCACCAGAAGCTAATGCCAGCACCATGCTCTTGGGCCTCAAAAACCCTGAGCCAAAATAAACCTCTTTCTTTTAAAAAGGCCGCCGCCTCTGTTGTGTTGTTGCAGGGACACAAGATGAGCTGAGAGAGATGAATGAAAATAGACAGGAGAGAGGGAAGGAAGGAGGGAGGGTGAGTGAGGGGAAGACAAAACAGAAGCGGTGGTTACCTATTAACTAGAGTAAGGACTATATACAATTTCTTTATTGTTTAGCTTGTTTTTTAAAAAAAACAAGTATTATTAATAATTTATCAATTAAGAAGCAAAAACAAAGCTACCTTATAATAATGTTCATTGGCCTATATATTCATGCCTAAATGGAGTCTGAACCCAGAAGAGAGAAGGGCCATCGCGTTGGCCACCCCTGCCCTCAAATGCTGAAGGTTTGGAAAAGTCTGCATTGAATACCCACTTGGCGAGTTCCTTAGGGACTCACCTTTTTCTGTGAGGGGTACTTCTACCCACTTGTTTTTGCCCAGAAGGTTTAGCTTTATCTTAAGTTCTGCTTCCATTCTTTCTCTTAGACAAAATTACAAGACTGGGAGGAAACTGTTGTTCTAAAATGTGCCCCATTACTGGGGGGGGCGGGAATCAATTCAACTAGCTTTCTGTCCAGTTAGCTAACTGAAATGAAGGTACTCCCGAAGCTTAGGAGTTACTGTGTGGATGGCTAACTGGTTTTTCTTAGTCTCACCATGTTGGAAATAAGATTGAAATAATAAACTTGCTTTCCTATAGATTGTCTGGAGCCATATAGTCCCATCCTATAGCCACAAGCCATATGTGAATTACCAAGTGGCCACCAGCTAATCTGAACTGACATGTTCAAAAGTGCCAAATACGCACCAGATTTTGAAGACTTAAAACTGTAACTTTGGGTGTGGGGGGATACAAGGGATCAAACTCAGGGGCACTCAACCACTAAGCCACATCCGAGCCCAGTTTTGTATTTTATTAGAGACAGGGTCTCACTGAGTTGCTTAGCGCCTCGCTAGTTGCTAAGGTTGGCTTTGAACTTGCAATCCTCTTGCCTCAGCCTCCTGAGCTGCTGGGATTACAGGTGTGTGCCACCGTGCCCAGCAAAACCATAACATATATCTCACTAAAATGATAATATCTCACTTAAAACATTTATATTGATTACATATTGAAATAATATTTTGGATATGTTAAGTAAAATATATTATTAAAATTCTAACATTTTTTGTCATTTTTCTAACAAAAATTACAAGAAAATTTTGAATCACATGTGGCATATTGGACAACTCCATTTTAGAATTGGTGGGTTTTTTAAAGTTTTTTTTTGTAGATGTAGTTGGGCACAATAACTTTATTTTATTTGTTTATTTATTTTTATGTGGTGCTGAGGATTGAACCCAGGGCCTTGCACGTGTGAGGCAAGCGTTCTACTGCTGAGCCACAATCCCAGCCCCTAGAATTGGTGTTTATGGTAAACTATGGTTAACAAATATAAAGCTAGCTAACCTTTTTAACCTTTACTTAAAATTAATTACCTCATCAATGCTCCCCAATTCATAAACATGCTATCACAGGGCAATTTATGTTGAATAATTTTTAGTTATTAGAAAACTAGAACACACAAAATTAGCTCACGGGCTTATATTTTAGAAAGATTTTAGTGTACGTGCAGAAGTCAGATTACCTGGCCTGAATTTCTGCTCCACTGTTTATCAACTACATGACTCTCAAGAAGGTTATTTTAATATTTTTCTTAGTGCATTATAGTTTTACAGAAGTCTGGACTGCTTCAAGAATTTGCATGTCACCCTTGTATAGGAGCCACATTAATCTTTGTGTTGTTCCAATTTTAGTATATGTGCTTCCAAAGTGAGCACTCACAAGCAATTTAATACATCTGTTCCTCAGTTTCCTCACCTATCAAATAGGGTTCATCATGGCACTCTCACCTCACTGAATTGTTATAAAAATAGGTAGATGCGTGTACATAAATTTCTAGGTTGCTCGATCATATACAATGCTGAGTACATTTTAGTTATTATTGTTAGACTTTGTTGGGACTTTTATTTACTCTACCAATTTTCGTCTCAGGATACTGTGTAGATAGTATATTTTTTCTTTAAATGGTCTCATTACAATGGTAACTGAGTCAGCAAAATTTTATTCCCTTTCCCTCCAACACGTTATAGAGTTGTCAAAGTATTCTGATCCATTTTAAGTGAACAAAATAAACCAAACTTTCAATTACCATATCAGTATTTATAATAATTTCATTTGATAAATATTAAATTTTCCAAGTTTAATGAAGCAAATATCATCACGTGGTTTACAACCAATTTATTATAATGGAACCCTAATATGCAAAGTAAATAATTCATCCCTACTGAAGCATTTGTATAAAATTTTTCCTGTTCTATAATTTGGATTTTTGTCCTCTTAAAGTTTTATTTTTTTCCCTAAGTCACAATAATAGCTGATATTTGTTGCACACTATGTCCAAGGTCACAATGTTCAATTATTTATAAGCAAAATTATGAAATTTAGGTACCAGAGATTGAACTCAGGGGCACTTGACCACTGAGCCACATCCCCAGCACTATATTTTATTTTATTTAGAGTCAAGGTCTCATTGAGTTGCTTAGTGTCTTGCCATTACTGAGGCTGGCTTTGAACTGACAATCCTCCTGCCTCAGCCTCCGAAGCCGCTGGGATTACACGCGTGTGCCACCTCGCCCAGCTCACCTGCTCACTCTTAATCTACTCACTACAGATTTAATAAAAGGGAACATAATCAAAAACTAGGAAAAAAATCCCCAAAAAATATCATTAAATTATTTGAAAGCTTCAGCCCAAATATGCTTTAACCCATGGAGCTATGAATTTTAGAATAGGCAGGGGGGAAAGCAAGCTTCCATGTTCTCTCATTACAACCTCATTAAGCTACTGTGCCTAACACCCCTGTCTCCTAGTTATCTTCCGACACTGTGTAATGAGGCGACAGGAACACATTCAAAACGCATTTTTAAAGGTCTGTTGATGTCTTAAAATTTATTTTAAAATACTTGTTTATGTCCTAAAGTTAGTTTTCTTCATAGGAAAGAAAATTATATTTGTCTGGAAAAAACAGCTCCAGCCATTCAGAAGGGTTGAAAATGAAAAGCATACCCTAGGCAGAGTCCCCAGAAATCAAAAATTTAAAACTCACAAATTCATCTCCTCCCACTGGTCTCCCTGAGGCCCTGAGCAAATCTGCTCTCAGAAGCAAAACTGAGTATCACATCCCTGCAAGAAGAGACAGAAAAAAAAAAAAAACTCTCCTTTATGTACCACTTCTAAGACGTGTGGACATTCTTGCTTGAAGGAGGCAGGTTGATCCCTTGGACTGAACTCCCTGTGGCCCTAAAAGGCAATTTAAATCATTTTTTTTCCAAAGACCCCAATGGGTGCCCCATTAATGTTCTCAGTTTCTTCGTCCTAGTGAAGCTCTTTAAAGACATAAAAGACTCATCCAAGTAACAAGAATTTCCCCTCATTCAAAATGAGGTCTGTGTGTGGTGTTTCTGTTTCCAAAAGCCCATGGCAGGCCCTAATGGCCTTAGGAATAAATGACCTACAGGATATCCGGCTTTCTCATCAATGCCAAGAGTCCTTAACTGCCTATAGAACTGTAGAGAGACGCCTGCTCTCTACAATTCATCCCACAAAGGTAAAATAGATTGTGAAATCTACTTGCTGCTAAAGCAGGGATTAGGAAAATATTATCAGGAATGCACAGTGGTCATCACGAAACCACCTGTCTGGCATAGAACGTCAGCACGAGAAAGGTTGCCACTGGTTTGAGAAATGTGGCCTCCAAGAACTGGCGAGTCTACAACCAAAAGACCACGGGATTGAGAAGCGCGGTCTTACTCATCATTTATCACCCCCTTGTGTTTATTGTGCAGCCCATTTAGCAATATATGCATGTTATTTGCCAACGAGAAGAAGACATGGAAACAGAATTAAAGAAACAAATACATCACAATTGTCTGCCAAGAGCTCCCTATGGAGAAATCCAACACAAACTCTCAGCCAAAAGTATTAATTTGATATTGATCAGATCGCATTAGAGTAAACTTTTGATGTACTTCAATCTGGTTCAATTCAATTTGTTTTAAATAAATTAACTTTTGGCTGTCTTGGAAAATGTGTTCAGAGAATCGCCGTGAGGATACTGTTTCCTGTTTTTGGATGAGTAAGTAGAAGCTCACGTCTCTTTGTAGGGTCCCTCCAATCTTTCCCATGCTCACAGCTTAGCTTATCTTTGCGGCAAAAAAAAAAAGTGTCAGAATATGAACTAGTTCCAATATTATGTGTTCTAAATTCATAGTTCATTTACTTATTGATCCTTGACACAGCTGCAAATCAGCTCTTAGCAGGATGGAAATGGTTTGTTTCTAGTTCCCTTCCTGCAAAATAAGGGTGTTGAGGCCTGTTCTTATCTCCAATAAAGATTTCATCGATGTGAATTGGATCACTCAGTAAAGCTCATTGATCAAAGGCTCATAGGAGCCTTTAATGCTGTAATACTCTTGGAGCAAGAGGCAAGAGGAAATATCAAAGGGAAATTGTGTGTTGTACACATCATTATAATAGTAAACTATTTTAAAAGCCCTCTTGGTGACTAGGTCTTTTGAACATTGTAAATGAAGAATTCTACATCATCAAAAGCAAGCCAAGAAGCTGGGTGCGGTGGTGCACTCCTGTAATCCCAGTGTCTTGGGGGGCTGAAGCAGGAGGATCATGAGTTCAAAGCAGCCTTAGCAACAGAGAGATGCTAAGCAACTCAGTGAGACCCTGTCTCTAAATAAAATACAAGATAGGGCTGGGGATGTGGCTCAGTGGTCAAATGCCCCTGAGTTCAATCCCCCCTCCAAAAATAAGCAAGCCAAGGGTTCATGACCAGACAGGCTCCCCATGGATGAGGCATGCATGTTTACAAGGAAAGGTACGCGGCAGCATTTCCGCGACACCTCGCCACCCAGAAGAGAGTGTACCTTGCTTTGTTAGATGAGCACAGATCACAGGAAACACCCAGACACTGGCTTGCTAGCTGAAGCCAGGTGTGGCAGATCTGGAACAAGCCCAGCTTACTGGGGCGGGGAGGACTATAGCAAAGAGCAGGGTTGCGTCACCCGATAAAAACACAGGACACGAATCCGTGGGGCAGGCGGATACCCAAACATTATTCTCAGTTTATCTGAAATTCAAGTTTAAGTAGGTATCCTTTATTTTTATTTGTAACTCAATCAACCCTAATTGAGATCTCGGGGAGGATTTCAACCAATGTAGATGCAGATCTGAGGAAGAACAAGATCTCTATTCAACACAACAGTCATCAATGGGCCATAATAGTAGTGCAGATAAGTGGTCCTTGAAGGAAAGAAAGGAGGCCAAAAGAGAAATAGAGCAGTTATAGGAACCAGCACAAGTTCAAGGCCACACTAACAAGAGCAAACTGGCATTGACTCCCCTACAGTGGGTTAGATGCCTTGGCACCAATCACAAAGCCAAGCCATGCAATCTTAGCATCTCCCTTTGGGTTCCCCCAGAGATGTATCAAAGTTCCAAAGAGGAGGTGGAATCTGAATAGTCCACCCCCAAAATGCACCATTACCACCATGAATAAGGCTGTCTTGGTCCATCCTGTGCTACTATAACAGAACACCTGAGACTGGGTCATTGATAAGGAGCAGAGGTTTATTTCTAACAGTTCTGGAGGCCGGGAAGTCTAGAGTCTTGGGCCCCCATCTGGCAGTGGGCCTTCTGGCTGCATCTTCTCATGGTGGAAAGAAAAAGGGCAGGAGCGCACTCCCCTCCCATCACAGAGCCATTGGTCCATTCGTGAACGGGGAGCCCTCCTGACCCCATGGCTTCTTGAAGGTCCCGCCTGTCAACGCCATTGCACTGGGAATAAGTTTCCAGAGTGAACTTTGGGGTACACATCCAACTTCCCCTCCATTAACAGCCTTTTGAAGCCCATTCTATGTTGTGGAGGGTGGGTTTGTGGGGAGCAAGATGAAACTGGGGGGGACCCCTGGGCAGACTGGCTCAGTAGTTCAGGTGAGAGATGACTGCAGGTTGGTCTGAGATAGGGACAGGTGGCCGCGGAAGAAAAGAGAAGTGAGCAGATGACAGCAGCACTTAGGAGGACCTACGGCCGAGGAAGGGCCCAGCCTCCCTCGGGGTTTCTGGCCTGCGATGACAACTCTGTGTCGAGGGCCAGGAGCTGGCTAATCTGGTTGTCACAACTGAAGGCAGAGACAGACAGATGGCAAGAGCGGATAGAGCCGTGATGTCACCACACACAGCTAGGGTGACCTGTCAGGCTGTCCCTGAGCAGAGGCAAGATGAGCGGCTGCAGAGACATAGGACCAAAGTCCTGTGAGGCCCTGAGTCCTAAAGGGACCGGCTTTCTTCCTGTCCCTTGGACACATCAAGAGCATTCATGTCCTCCCCTCTGTTCCTGGGATGCTCGTCCCCAAGTTCACAAGACCGACTCCCTTGTGCCTCTCGGATCTTCACCCTGATGTCACCTTCTTAAAGAGAACTCTCCTGACAAGAAATCTGAGAGAGCACCCAGTTTCCTGTGACCACATGATCCTCTTGGGTGGCTTTCAGAATATCACCTCTTGATGGCCATTTGCTCACCCGTGTGGTCCTTGTCACCGCCACACGTTCTAGACTGTGAGCTCGCAGACCATAGGGACTCGCCCAACCTGCCGGTGCTCACCCCTCAGCCTCTAGGACAGCAATGTCACCCGGTGAACACCTGGTGAGGGGTGGAGTGGACAGTTCCAGGTCAGAGAGAGCTGGTCACGGCTTATTTCCTGCCATT